ATTGGTTTACGAACGTCAGAACGGCCTCAATGAGCGAACGTAACGACGACTGGATCACTGTTGGTCAAGATTAGTCAATAACTGAGCTCGATTGTAGTTTTCGAGCCGAGCGTGTGGAGTGGACCATCAAACAATGATAGCGTAGTGAGCTCCATATATTCTGACCAATCTGATTCTGGCATTCCCAGTAGGACTACTTGCGAAAGTAGAAGAGCGGGCATTTGACGTCGACGCCTTGTCAGTCGAGCCAAAGGCTCAACTCAGAGCGGTATTCAAAGACGCCCCAAACAACAATGATTTTCGATGGCGCAGTATACATTCAGGTAGACACAAAGAGTGGACATTCAGGGTTAATACCGTTTCGCATTAGCCCCACAAAGGAAGCCGAGGTGGTAATAGCACCTATTGCGTCAAGCAGGCTAGGTGTGGAAGTTTCATAAATGAAGGATGTAAACCAAACGAAGAACCGAGTAAAGCAAATAAAGAAAATAATGTGGTCGTTATGAGACGCCTTTACATACCACCACGTAACGTGAGCCTGGTCCCACTCAAATGTGAGGGCGACGTAGGAAACCATAAGGAGGGTGTCATATGGCCCAGTAAGCGAGGAGTGAAACCAGGTGTATATTCAATCAAAGATTGAGAAACCACGATTCTTGTATTTCACACCGGCACGGATGTGCTGTTCAGTGAAAGATGAAAACGTCGGACCCTAGGGAACGGATAGTTGGCGCGAACCGTGGGAAGACCTGAATCCCTTTCTATCCGACGAGATTGTGATAGCAAACTATCAAGAGTTGATGCAAAAATTGGAAGAGTCGCCATCATCATACACGAAAGCTCGAGGGCAGGATTAAGATGTGAAGACGCTTTCGAAGTATTACCAAGGAGTGTTCTCAATTTCTGATCGAACTAACCCTGACGAGCTTAGTCAAAATAACTATCGATACGGGAACTGCGTATCTATCAAAATGAAGGCGAGGCCGGTATCATCAGGTCCAAGACCAAAACTCAAAGAGCTGCTAGCAGAGTTGATAGAGAGGGACGTCATAGGCACAGTAAATCAAAATGAGCTTTTTCCATGGTCCTCCTTGAAAAAAGGTTGGTTCAATTCGGTTATGTGTAGACTATGTATAAGGAACTCAACAAAAAGATCGAAATGGATGCGTATCCAAGTGTAGAAGAAATTCTCCAAAATTTATCAGGAAAACGATTCATTCAATGTTCGATATGTGAAGCAGATACTGACAAATTCCTATTGCGGATGATACCAAGAAATAACCAGCATTTGCCAGACCAGAAGGAATCTGCAATGTAGGGTAACATCACTTGGACCAAGTGCTAGTCCGCCAGTGTTTCAAAGCTTGATGAATATTGTCCTTGAAGATCTTCTTGGCTGAGAAGATCTTCTTGGCTGTGAAGTGTTCTGTACTATCGATGATGTAGTGGTCTGCAATACGTTCAAACAAAGGCACCTTCAGCTTTTAGAAGAAGTGATTGAAGGGCTGATAAACGCAGAAATGCAGTTAAAAGCACAAAAGTGCCATATGTTGAAGAGTGAGGTGGCGTTTCTCGGACATATTATTGACGGAGACGGGGTGCACACGGATCCGCAGAAGATGACCACAATCAAGACTATTCAATGCCGCAAACCGTCAAACGACTTCGAAGCTTCTCAGGCATGGCTTCCTTCCACGGGGAGTTTTACCTGAGTTTCTCAAAGCAGACGACTTGTCTCTACAGTTTGACTTCGTCGACAAAGAAATGGTTAAAGAAATGTCTAGAAAAAGGAGCATCTAGAGGCAAACCAGAAGATCAAAGACATGATTTGCTCGTCACGCTCCTCAAAGAGCCAGATGTAGAAACCGCCAGAAATATAGTACCAAATTTTTCTGTATATGCAGGGATGCATCAACACATGGTTTGGGAGCGATGCTATCCCAAGTGGGTGAAGACAAGCAGATGCACCCGATTTTCTTCGCATTCGAAAGTTCGAGCAAAGCGGCGAGAAGATATCGTGTAATAGATTCTTGCAGTACAGCGCTTTTATATGTTTTATATGTTCATATGTGGTCTACCTACCATCGTCATGAAGGAACACCAGCCTCCGACTGCATTTTTTAAGCGTACTAATGTGTCACCACGCGTGCCATGATGGTCACTCGAGCTCCAGAGGGAAATCTTGAAATTCGCTTCCAAAGGAAAAGGCGAACGAAAAGAATGAAATAGATCTAGATGAAATAAGTAGGAGCGTAATTACAGCGCTTATGTTGGAATCGCTCGAGGGATAAAACGAGACTGTAGTGAACGTTGCTACAGCCGAAGAAGAATAAGAATGGATGAAAGACTTGAGGAATGATCCGCAATTGGCATGATAGAAAAGAAGGAACGGGACCAAGAAGTAAGATTAACAAGTGAAAAATATCTCCCCCCCCTTAGAGTGGCAAATCTTACGCTAGAAAGCGAAGGTTTATAGGTTGCCGTAGGACGATAGACGCGGTTCTTAAATCGGATAGCAATGGAATCCCCGAAGAAGCGCTCAGCGGCGTCTTTGCAGGCCACATCAGTGCAAAGAAAATTTCGAAAACTTTATCTAAACGAGTGTATTGGCCAGAAATGACGCAGGATATCCATAAATGGACGCAGCAATGTAAAAGTGCTCCGTACACAACCCGCGAAGAAAGTTAGTCCCACATCTAAAGCCTTGTAACTTCGGGACCTTGCGGGATGATAGGAGTAGATGTATGAACTTGGGCCAAACGTCAAAAAGAGACAGATATGCGGTAAACGTACTTGATCGTTTCACGAAGTGTGCCACGGCGTATCAAGTACCGGAACAATCCGCAAAAACAATAGCAGAAACGCTCTTCATCAGATGGAGCACAGAAGCTTGCAGATGGTCCAAATATATTAGGTTGGTGCAAAAGAAATACAAGTTTTTCTACCTTAAATCTAAATTACTGTAACTTAGCTCTAACAACATTTATTTAATCAAAGTAATCACCATTACAATTGACGCACTTTTGCCAACGAGAAACGAGCTTCTTAATACCAATATCATCGAAGTCTGGGGTTCTGGAAGCAATGAACTCATTGAAGGCAGTTTCTGCATCATCTTGGTTTTTGAAGCGTTTTTTCCGCAAGAAGTTGTCAAGGTGCTTGAAAAGGTGAAAGTCAGTAGGTGAAAGGTCTAGCGAGTATGGTGGATGATCCAGAGTTTCGTAGTTCAAGATGAGCCGACGATATCTCACAACGACGATCTTTCTGACTTTCGGTCAATTCATGTGGAACCCATTTGTAAAGCTTCTTAGTCTTTCCAATTTGCTTCAATTGGCGAACAATTGTAGTGTGATGGACATTGAGTTCCTCCGCAATGTCTCGTGCCGTTTTGTGCGGATCAGCTTCGACGGACGCCTTCAATTAATCGTTATCAAGTGTTGGTAGACGGCTGCCATGTGGTTCGTCTTCGAGGCTGGTGTTGCCGGCACGGAACTTTTGGAACCAACGTTGTACTGTGCATTCGTTGACGCTTCCCTGGCCCCATACTTCAATGATATTTCGAGCGGTTTGAGCGGCAGCCCGACCCAGTTTGAACTCATACAAGTAAATTCGACGAAAATTGCGATTAGACATCTGATAATAAAAACCACATTTTTTTAAAATTAAGCGATTTGAATGAAATTTCACATACATATTTAAAAACGCAAAGAATAAGCTTCCCAACAATGTATAATACCCCATGAAAAAGGCTTAGCTTTCTTTAAAAAAAAAGTGTTGAAACCAGTAAAAGAAAAAACCTGCATTTCTTTTGCACCAACCTAATACATCATCGGATAGAGGAGAATTAGTAGATTAGGTAATAAATGAGGTCGTGAAAATAATGAATGTCAACCACATCACCACAAAGGTATAGAACGATAGAGAGAATCGACTGGCAGAAAGGTCTAACGGATCAGTCGTGACCATGTTACGCGAAAGCGCAGTGGTTTCAACAGAAAGGGATACAAGGTTACCCTTTCGTATGATGGCGTACAACATGATCCCTCACCGTGCAGCCGGTAAAAGTCCATATTTTCTTTTGCACGGGAGTTGATCCCGCATTTCCATAAGAAGTCATGCCATATGCAGGTAACAGTCGATACATGGTGACAAATCTCTAAGCGGATAAGCCGAAATACTTCAAGCTATCGCAGAGGTACACGAATGTGTGAGGAAATATAACGATCGCGTAAGAGAGAAAATGAAAAAGACATGTGAGAAAGCAAATAAGGTAAAGAATAAGATATACGCAGAGTAATAGAAAGAGTTTATGTGTGATTGCCTAGTGAGAAAACGATGAGAACACATCCAAAGTTGCTAGGTGACTGGATAGGACCGTATAGGGTCATTAAAGTAAACGATAAATCCGCCCTGGTAACCATGCAAGGACCGTGATTGCAGTTGTATTTTTTGTTTTATTCATCTATATTTCTTCTATATTATATATATATATATATTTCTTCTCAAAACATTACATAGGTCTAAATGAAACTACATACAGCGTGGTCCTAGAAAACCTTTTAATTTTGCACTTATAAAGATAATAACAGTAAGGCAGGCATACCGTAGTAACCAAACAAGAATCTGTTACGAAGTACAAATTCTGTGTGATTTATTGAAACATTCAATGCAGAAATAACGTTGGCATTTACTGCAGCAAGAATTTACTATTCTTGTGTGGGATAAAGCGTATTGATGCCCGTGAGGTTGGCAGAAGTTCGTATAACACTTCGAGCACCTCAACCTAGTTTTAAATTTAGGACCCTTCACTTCTTCCAAATTATGCCTCCTTGACGTAGTAGAACTAGTTAAAGAAACGTCGGCTGTCAGAAGTGACTCATAATTTTTTCTTGAAATTGTTGATTCTGATTTGTCCTGCTAAGTCTTTGTACAGCTTCCACGCATGATCAAATGAAAGAAAATCCTCTTCCACCATTTGCACGTTTTCCTTACAAACGGGGTATACGCTGCCATTTGGTCCGATTGATCAACATAACCTTTCATAGTATTGTAGTCGTTAACCACCACTGGTTTCATGTTCCCAACAAGGCTGGCATCCTTCTTCATAGGAATCAACAGGATATCGCACTTGTCCTCCCATTTCAATACCATGATTCGTTTTCGGTTTTGTAAGGCAAAAATTTCACCTTTTTCCAGCTTTCTATCCTTGATCGTTTTTGATAAGCCTTGACGGTTTCGTCTCAGCGTACCGATCAGGTCGGTCTTCCTTGCCAGCGGTTTTTCAGCGAGGCTCACACTTGAGTAGAAGTTGTCCGTACATGTTGTGTTGTTCTTCTCTGGTCCAGAAACTCTTCCATCAGTTCAAGAACTACCGAGTCCGCTTGAGACCCATTTCTGTGAGGATCTTTCCCAGCATAAATTTGATTTTTGAAGCGTATCCTCCTTCCGCGCTAAGTTTGAATAGTTTGATATCATATCGGTGCTTTTCGGAAGGGATATATTGCCTGAAGTGAATTCTTCCTTTGAAGGGAACTAGCGACTCTTCGATACAGACATTTCTGACGGCTTATAGTATCATACTTCATGCATCGTTCGTTGAACAGCTCAGCTTTGTGGATTACGGACAGCAAGCAGATTGGACGCTAGTTGTCAAGACTGCTTGGATCTCCCTTCTTAAGTGTCATTACAGACCTCCAGGTTTTACAACAAGGGCGTTTTGCATTGCGACTGGTACCGCGTGAAAGGTTTAGCCAGAATTCTGACGACGAGAGGTGGTATGCTCTTGAGATGTTCTGATTTTAACCGATGGGACTGGCGAACATTCAATTCCATATGTTGCATAATGTTTTCGAGAGCTGCACTAGGAATTTGGGCGAATCAACATCACGATTAACTGTATACTTCATTCATCACGCACCGAATGGATACTCCTCGAAATAAAGAAGCTGGCGGAGTGGAAATCCAACAGGACAATGTCAAGAGTAATCCACGACCGCGGTATATCTTCGTCCAGCCCAGTCCAAGAAGAGTGCGTAGAGTCCATTTATTGTTGTGAAGCCGGAAGCCTCATTGCGCTGCAGCCGCTGACTTCTAGGATCTATTTCGGCAGGTATCGGCAGCAAATGTCTCCTTAAAATTGCGAAGTAGCAAACAACAAGCCCGGCCTATCCCAGGAAATCGAGTGCATATTTTTCAAGCATGGATGCGAGCTACAGCCTAGTTAATTGATTTAAGCAGCGGGGCAGCCAGTGTGAGTGTCAAGTGTTTTCATATCAAACCCAGGGCTTACACCCAGCGAATATCAGCTTGAGAGAGATGTGTTTGAAAAGAGAACGTTCGCAGAAGATTTTACAAGTACTCAACAGTGACGCTCGTTCATGACTAGTTAGGATGTATGGAACTCACTACGCTATCAGTGCTTGTTGGTCCACTCCACGCGCTAGGCTCGAAAACTACAATCGAGCTCAGTTATTGACTAATCTTGACCAACAGTGATCCAGTCGTCGTTACGTTCGCTCATTGAGGCCGTTCTGACGTTCGTAAACCAATCTACCATACGCTAGGGTATTTTATAACGATCAAACTTGTTAAAAGAAACTGGATTGGAAATAAGACGAGCAGGAACCCTTAAATGACTGTATGGTTTACTTTCGCAACTAAACGTGAACCGTCTGCAGCGTCTCACGAAACCGGATGAGCTACATGGACAACAGCAGCAGTGCAAACACTAAAGGTAGTCTGGTATCGAATAGAGGGTTTACGCGACTGCAAGAAGCGCAGTTTTTTTTCTTGACTTCTGTATGCATTCACTAAAGGGCATTGTCTCTGTTTGGATAATGCGACATCTTCAGAACCTGCTCCAAAATAATGATAATAATGATAATGATAATAATAATTTCAACTGTATGCTCTGAACGAGTACTAACGACTTCAGGAGGAATGACGTTTTTTCGAGAAGCAATTGTGTTTGCTGTAACTAACAGCTTCGATGGTTCATCCTAACTGTCTTTGTTTTGATTAGAAATACTGTTGTATATTGAGTTCTAACGATGTTTTATCCTTTTCTCATGGCTGTCTGATAAGCTCTGAGCTCTGAGTGGTGAAGCCACTTCTTATCACAATTTTCGT